CGTTCCTGCAGGAAAAACCACAATTCCTCAGGACAGATTCCAGTCTTTAGCTGCTGTTGTTAATAAAAAGCCTCTTTGGTTTTTTAATTAAAATCTATGTTCCAATTATATCTAATCTTCTCCTCTAATTCAGGAAAGGCCGCATTCTTTTGGAGGGAATATGTCCGCATTCTGTATAGAGGTGAGAAGGGCAACACCATCAGAAAAGTCATAGCTGTGTTTACACAATACACTGAACCACGAATTAGCTGACCACATTTTAGCCTCCTATGCTAAAATAGTTCAGTATTTCATATGAACCGAGAAAATTGAGTAAACCATGGCTAAATTAACCATAGATAAACATTTTTGCAAACGTATCCTATCTCTCTGTTAAAAGCATGTCCATTCCTTCATATAATGTTTGTTTCCGATGAGTATTTTAAGATCACAGAATTACATACCAGTTTGTTCTCCTAATTGCTCTGGAAATCCTATAACTGAAGTTTTATTTATTACGGTCTTTGACTAGCATTACAAATCAGAGAAAGAAAATGGATTTCTATAGCAAACCAATTACCAATTAAGGAGTTATAATAAAACAGTAGAACTACACATCACAGTTTTGCAGAGTTGCATGGCTCAGTAAAGGTATTTGACAACCTAGAATGTGAGTGAAAAGTTAATATCCCTTAACAAATATATAAAATGTATCAGTATGATCCTGAAATTTGGAAATAATTGGGGAGGGTACATCATGTCTTAGACTATTATACAAGGGACACCATAAGAAGATGTGGGCAAGGGTTTCTACCTCCCTAGAGCCATCAGGGCAAAGTTTCAGGGAATAAGGAATCTTGTAAAATCTACCCACCAACAGTGAGGAAAGAAGAGCAATAAAATGGGCTCCACAGAAAGCCTGTCTATATTTACCCAGGGTTAGATTGTGTAAATACCCCTCTATCGAGGGCTTGTGCCAGTCTAACATTTGGTGATAAAATTCAGACGCACTGCTAAAAACATTCTGATGATCAAGGTCCCCAATTCATTGTTTTACTAGTCATTTGGCCTTCATGAGGGTTAATTGCCCTATATATTCAGGAGAAAGACCGAGACTACATGATTCCTCCTTAGAAGTTTGATACCAACAAGATTCGTAGCTGTCTGTCAACAGCAGAGGCAACAGCCCAGTAGGAAGCATGATTCTTAATACTGTATTCTTAGATTTTGAGTATGAGATGGCATTCATGAGAACTCTCAGATCCCAAGGAACCAGTACAGAGGCAACAGCATGTAGGAGGAATGTATCAGCAAGAACAATTAGCTCTCACTCTTACCCATTTTCAATTTCCAAACTGATCACATATGCATGATTAGATGCTCTCAAGCCATTAATTCGTCTACCATGAAAGTAGCGGAATTGCCTGGTATCTGTGAAGGAGAAGTTGAAACAATAGCTAATCAAATGTTGAAAAGAAGAG